AAAGAAAACTCTTCAATGTCTGAACAACACAAGAAGTCCAGTTTTCAGAAATGAGTCCATCAGCAGACAGATGTTCAGTCTTACTTTGTACACAGCTGCTCTGACTGGCTGTCTGCAGTCCAGCTCTGGTTCTGGATCTTTCTCCACACCGGGGACAGGATGAGTTTCCTGATGAAGCAGACTGGTCCCAGTGACACAAAGCACAGCAGGACAGCTGCTCCTCCTCACAAACACCACTCCTCTTCCTCTTCCTCTCTCTGTGAACACATTTCTTTATGACTAACATTATTTACTGAATTTTGTGTAGACAATCATTCTGTACAATACGATAATTATAATTCCAGAACTGTTTACAACTTTTTATAACTTACATAGTTCCTATTTTATATTTCTGTATAGTTTTCATATTTTTATCCTGTTCATAGCTTGTACACCCACTACAACCTGTACATACTTAGTTATAGCATATTCATGACATACCTTCATACTGTGTAACATACCCATAATAGACCCATATTTTGTACCTACCTACCTAGCAGACCTATTTCTGTAATCTATATTGTTGTTAATATATATATTTTGTAATATATCTATATTATGGCTAAAGCCTTGTTGCCTTGTACTTGTGACATGTGACATTTGACATGTGATATGACAAGTTGAATTCTATTCTATTCTACTGACTGTTGCTAAAAATATCCAAATTTAAAAGATGAATACACACTTTGCACAACCTTCACTGCACACTGGTTCTAACGTCAAATCTAACAATTACAAAGAAGGAGGAGAGGTAGGAGACAATCAAAATGAACGCTAACAAATCACCTTCTCTCCCGTCCCTGGTTCTCCTGGTGACTAGCCTCTATGTCCACACTGACTCCAGTAGTACCCATTTAGATATTTATTCATTTCTGTGTGTGTGTTCTTCTATTCTCATTATCTTTATCCTATCTGTACTGCCTACATAAACATGGAAGGACTACAAGGTCATTTCAGTTTAATTCAGTTTTATTTATATATCACAACAGTCGCCTCAAAAACCCAACAATCATATGACCCCCTATGAGCAAGCACTTTGGCGACAGTGGGAAGGAAAAACTTCCTTTTAACAGGAAGAAACCCCCGGCAGAACCAGGCTGAGGGAGGGGCGGGGCCACCTGCTGCGACCAGTTGGGGTGAGAAAAGGAAAACAGGATAAAGACATGCTGTGGAAGAGAGACAGAGAT